GTCTATGTTCTCTCTCATTGATGTCTTTCTCTCTAAAATCAATAAAGAAAAATTATTTTAAAAAATAAAAAAAATTTTATTAATTAATTTTTGTTAATCTTCTCTCGAGGCTATTTTTTCCTTTGGTTTTTAGAGAGTGGAAGAGGGAGAGAGGAAGGGGAGAGGGAGCAAGAGAGAGAGAAACATCAGTCTGAAAGAGACACATTGACTGGTTGCCTCCCATGCACACCCAGACTAGTGTCAGGGATCAAGCCTGCAACGCAGGTACATGCCCTTGATCAGGAATCAAACCTGTGACCCTTTGGCATGTCGGCCGATTTAACCCCGAGCCACATCGGCCAGGGCAGAAAGTGTCTTTTAAAACAAATTTTTTTTTAAAATCCTCACTCGAGGACATTTTTGCATTTATCTTCAGATAGAGCGGGAGGGAGACAGGGGAAAGAGAGAGAGAGAAACATCAACGTGAGAGAGAGACACCGAGTGGCTGCCACCCACACAACTGGGGCCCAGGACAAACTGCAACTGAAGTACGTGCCCTTAGCAGAAACCGAACCCAAGTCTCTCTGGTCCGTGGGCTGATGCTCTAATCGCTGAGCAAAACCAGCCGTGGTGAAAGTGTCTTTTTTTTTTGAAAGTGTCTTTTTAAAGCCATAACAAAACCATATGGGCCTCAAGGCAACCAAAAAATGTCATCCTGAGGTTCGATTTTATCTGCTGAATTTCAGATGAAAGTATCTCTGGTGGTTTTTTGTGCCAGTGGCTGGGAGTGGAGCTGTTAGACACTTGGTGTTGGGATGTTGACATTTCAGGCTCCCGGTGGGAATGAGGTGGGAACTGTGGAGAATGGCCTCTGAGCTCACTCATTTCTCTCCCCAAGCTGAAGACCGCCTGTCAGAGAAGGAGATGGAAGACCTGCTGGCTTGGATGAGAAATGTGCTGGGATCGCGTGTCACCAATGTGAAGGTGAGGTCTTCTGGAGTCAGGCCACCATTTTGCTCCATGGCTCCAATGACCACCCAGCTGGCTAGCCTGCTGTCTCTGAGTTGCTGGCCTGGTGGAAGGTCTTCCAGTGGCAGTTGAAGCTTTGGTATGTGGGCGAGACTAGGAGTGTCACTGCCACTTCTGCATATGAGCTTACATGTGTGTAACCTCATGTACCCAGGGATGTTGCTGGAGCAGAACAGGCAAGCTGGGATGATTTGTTTCCTCCATTTTATAGAGCCAGGTAGAGCCATTTTCACTGAGAAAGGGAAAGCTGAGCAGCCAGTGGCCTGGTGGGCAAGTAGACGCAGAGAAGAGGGGTCCCCAAATGGCCACCCCAAAGCCATTCTGGTCCAGGCAGCAGAAAGCTGTGGTGGCATAGGCCATAAGGGGTTCCACCCCAGCCCTTGGGGAGCTTACAGCTGGGGTTCTTTTTGGGGAAGGGGCTTCAGAGAGGTAGAAACAGGTCCAGCTCAGAGCTACAGAGAAAGCCAGCCACTAGAGAACAGGTACACAGTGCAGGGTCACTGGCTCAGGAACAATCCAAGAGTTACTCCAAGGGACAGGCAGGTGTGCAGCATGGGGATGGCCAAGAGCAAAGGCGGGTGGGTTGGGGTGGCTTTGTAGGAGTTAGCGCAGGACTCTGAGGAGGAGGGATGGGCTCAGGTAGAAAGAGGAGACTCCTGGTAGGAGCATGGAGAATCAACGCAAGCAGCCGGGATTTCTGTATGTAACACGTTCACTGTGTCCACTCTTTACGATAGAGACTCATTTAAGCCTCAGATGACTGTGAGGGAGGTAGAATTATCATCCACCTCCTGTGAAGGAGGCGGAGTACATCCCCAGGTCATACAGCTAGGACCTCTTGGAGCTGGATTTGAGTTGGAGCTCAGGTTCTACTCAGTACCATGCTGCCAGGAAGGGCGGGCCCAGAAGGCTTAGTAGAGTCTCTGGTGTGAGTTAGGCCAGAAACCTGTGGGGTGGGCGAGGGGGAAGACTTGGTCAGGGAGAGGGGTTGTGACTGCCTGCTGGGGAAAGATGTATTCATGATGAAGTCAGATTATAGGGAGCCACAGAAAGGGGGTGAGTGAGAGTGATGTCTGCAGGAAGGAGGCTCCAGCCATCTGAAAGGATGGGATTGTGGGGAGGGACTGCAGAGAGATTGGGGAGAGGCTAGGCCTGGGGAAATGGAACAGTCGGGCCTAGATGGTCTTAGACAGTTGGTGTTGGACTTGGCATTGGCCCCTGTGGAGGAGAGAGGTGCAGATGACACCAGGTGAGATGGACCTTGGACAGTAATTGACACATTAGAAACTGTTGGCTTTGGGGGACAGAAGGGGGAGGCCCCATGCAGGATGCTGTTCCAGGAACTTGATGCGGGGCAGCAGTCAGGCTCTCTTCTTGTTAGTGGATAATTGGGAGGGAGGGCTGAGGGTTCATCCCTGGAGACCTGTTCTCCCTTGTCTTCTGGGGAAGCTTCACACCTGGTCAATTGCCAGCCCAGGATCCCTCACTCCAGGGTCCCTCTCACCCCTGGCCTTGCTTACAGGTGACTCTTCGACTGGACACCCACCCTGCCATGATCACTGTGCTGGAGATGGGGGCTGCCCGGCACTTCCTGCGCATGCAGCAGCTGGCCAAGACCCAAGAGGAGCGCGCTCAGCTCTTGCAGCCCACCCTAGAGGTCAACCCCAGGTAAGGCTGCCGGACCTGTGGGCCCTCGATGCCCAGGAACAGCATGCTTGTTTCTGACCTGCCAGGTACTCCTTTAAAATTGTGTTTTTATTCATAACACATAGGAAAAGCACATAAAGCTTATACATACAGGACTCGAGTAATTAAACTATTCATTTTAACTTTAAACTATACTCATGTAAAGTTTAAAAAAACCAACCCTAAACCTTGTTGGCCCTCTGATGCTCCCAATTTTCTCGCCATTAGAATTTTGTCAGTCTTAGGTAACCATAGTCCTGACTTGTGATGATCATTGCTTTATGGTCAATTTGTGCATCCTTCATATGCTTGGTTTTGCCTGTTTATGTAAAGTCTTATTTTCTTCACATAGTGTGTGAGAGGCCTCTGTTCCTATGGAGGGTGGCTGTGCCTTTTCATGGCTGAGTAATATTCATGGGTTGAATCTGCCTCAGCAAATTAGACTGACATTCAGGTAGTTTCTGTTTGGGGCTGTTGGGAACAGGTTACTCTGAACATGCATTTATCCTCAGAGGGAGAGGGAGAGGGGAAGAGAGACACATCAATGGGAGAGAGACACATTGAGTGGTTGCCACCCACATGACCCCTATTGGGGCTGGGGACAAACTACAACCGAGGTACGCGCTCTTAGCGGGACCCGAATTTGGGACTCTGGTCCGCGGGCCGACGCTCTAGCCGCTGAGCCAAACAGGTCAGGGCGCACCGAACATTCTTGTCCCTGTCTCACGTGCATATGTGAGTCTCTCTGTGTTGTGTGCCCAGGCATGAAGCTGCCATATGCTTAGCTGGGCTGGGTCATGCCAAGCTGCTTCCAGAGTGCTGGTGCCAGCTCCCCCCAGAAGAACGTGAGAACTCAGAGGTCCCTGTGGCTTTCTCATGACACATCTTCTAAGACTTTATTCTTTTTCCTGTTGGGTTATTTTTTAAAAAATTGATTTATAGTTTATTATATACTTTATCAGTTACAGATCTCTATCTTTTCGCATACATTAAGATGTCTCATGATGAGAAGTTCTCAATATTATCAGATTCATACATTTTTGTTAGGTGCTCTTTTGGGTCTTAAGAAATCTTATCACCAGAATCATGAATTTATTTTGTCTCTCTCTCCAGCGATCCAAATTGCCTTCTCCGTCATAGAGTATCAATTGTCTATATACAGTGTCTGGTCTGTAGGTCTGTCTTTAGCAGTACTGCACTGTTTTAACCACTCAGCTTTCCCTGCAAAGCCTTCACATTCAAAAGTGACTGCTCCCCTTAATTTCCTACAAGGATGTCTTGGCTACTCTAGGTCTGGGATTTGTTCCATACTTACTTTTATTTATGAATTTTATGTTAGATTTAAAGTATAAAATTAAACTTTTATTGTAAAATATATATATATATATATTAATTTAGGAAAAGTTTCACTTTTAATTAACGGTCTCTTTATCCAAGCACCAACATAAATGCCTTTTTAGATATTAAATTCTTTCTTTCCTTTCATTGTTCAGTTATTTTAATTTTGGTACTTACTGCATTTTCTAATAACACGAGTTTTGCTTTCTTTGGGTATACAATGAAGCATATGGCAGTGATTATTTACATCTAATTTTTATGTGCCTTTTTTATACTAGACTGCCCTATTGCACATTTTTGAATGTTCTGATAACTCCAGCATCTCAGAAGTTAGAGGCTCTTGTGCTGGGTGCACAGCCCTGAGCTCCCTTCTGGGGGTTTCTGTTGCAGGCACACGCTGATCAAGAAGCTCAGCCAGCTGAGAGAGAGTGAGCCTGATCTGGCCCAGCTGCTTGTCGATCAGGTGAGTCTCCTGGAAACTGGCTGAGAGTACGAGGAGGGGGCTGCCAGTTCTGCGAGCCTGTATCTCCAAAGTTGGACAGCTCAGTTTCCTCTAGAACCCGGCTCCCATCAACAAGGTTACCACCCTGCCTTTCAGATCTATGAGAACGCCATGATTGCAGCAGGGCTTATTGATGACCCCCGATCCATGGTGGACCGCCTGAACAACCTGCTCGTCAAGGCCCTGGAGCGACACTGATGGTGAAGGCTGGACTCTGTTGCCAGGGCTGCAGTGTAGCCGTTGTGAGAGCCCCACACCTTCTGTGCACTGTTAGGGTCTCAGCGGAGGGGACAGTGGAACTGTGTTCCTCTGTCATGGGAAGGAATGACTAGATGCCACCAAAGAGAATAGCCCTCTTTGAGCTTTATTTACTTAAATTAAAAGGTGTTTAATCTAAGTATTGGACTCTGTGTGCATACTGACAGGGTAAGTTACTCTGGTAACACAACCTCATGCTTACCAGTGAGAAAAGGCCAACTTTCCATCCCCTTCCTCAAGCTGTACAGGGGGAGAGTGGGGCACTGATCCTGTGCTCAGGGAACTTGCACTGGTTTCCTAAACTCCACCCCCAGAACAGGATCAGCCGTCGTCTTCAGTGTCACCTCCACCGGGTAATGGTCACTGATGGCTTGGGCCTAGGGAGAAACATGCAGTCAACTCAGGGATGCCCATGTGACAGTACTCCCTGAGGGCCAGGACTTGTACCCAGATACTGGACTCTGTCACATCTGCCTGCGAAGAGGTTCCCAGGGCTGTGAACAAGTGGTTCGTTGAAGTCCTGTGGGTCCAGATCTCACTCCACCCCTGTGTCCTAAGCCCCCATTAGAGCTACAGCCTGTAAAGAATGGTCACATACAGTGTGGTTGTCCAGTCCATACGCAGCTTGGAAGTCAAAGGGACCAGCTGAGTCAGGAACAATGGCATGTTGGAGCAGAGTTCCGGCAACCACAATCCTGCAGTGCCAGACACAAGAAAACCCACTTTAGGCCACTGTTTGGCTCCATGCATTTAAACCTCAGATCCCAGCAAGTCTTCTCCCTACAAGCTGAGGGACCTGAGCACCTCATCAGCCCAGGTACCTGGCCTTCACTGCCTCGCCTCCAAATGAGGAACCTGCAGGAGCCAGCGCCCATCTGGTCTATATGGCCCTTAGGTGAAGTCCCCCCCCAAAGGCCAGGACCAGACTTGTACTTGGCCAGAGTCAGGTCTGGGTGTGCCAAAAGTGGGCACCACAGGCTGACTTATATACCTGAGACTACTCGGAGGAAAAAACTAGTATTGTATTATCCCTACATTCCTAAAATTAAGGAATGCTGTTTTTTATCCTACTTTCTTATGTGGTTCAAAGCTCAGGAGGGTGACTGTCTCCTCAAAGGTCTTGGGAACCATTTCTGAAGCTGGACCAAGATGAAAATCACAGCTGCGTATGGAGGTGTCCCCATCCCTACCTTGGGCCTGCAGAACCCACTGTGGGTACAGACCCTGCTCACCTGTCATAGGCGCAGTGCGTGGACGTAACAGTAGTGTCGGCGGTGTCAGGAATCAGCCACTGGAAGCCTGGGGTTGTGCGCAGGCGGATGGATGACCAATGTGAAGGGGTTACGTAGCTGCAGCCAGCGTTGAAATCACCCATCAACATGATGTCCTATTGGGAGACACCAGCTGATTGGCCCAGGGATAGAACAGGGCCCTCAGGAGCTCAATCCAATGTGTGAGGCCTCACCTCCATGTCCCACTTCTGCCGGACATCCAGGTAGACATCGTAGAGAGAGTCGATCTCAGATACTGCATCCAAAGGGGCTGCATGCAGGGGGATGATGGCAAACTCCTTGACCTCTATGGAGAAGGTGATTGTGCTAAGCAAGGAGGTGGGGGGATGGTTTGGGGGGTAGTACTGGTCCAAGGGTACATTGGCCTGGCTCAGTCATATGTTTAGGACTGGGATGGAGGACACATGAGACAGTCCTTGGGGGAAGGGTGGGCATTTCCCTAAGTAACTTAAAAATAAGACCAAAGCACTAGGGATGGGGAGGGCACCAAGCTCCCCAAAGGGGTGCATGGTGGGAGCATAATGTGATGTGGGTCTTCAGAGTGTCTGGGAAGGGTCAGGTAGGTCTCCCTTGGCCAGGCAAGGCAGAGGAGCCTATGGCAGCAGCACTCACGGGTGAATGGGGAGGAGAACTTGACAACAGCTGGCTCTCGGCTGAAGGTATCGTTCCCACAGGGCTCGCAGCCATCGTCATACTGGTAGCTGTCCAGCACTGACACCTGGTCAGGTCTGCAGAAGGCCAGGCCAGAGGGTACTTAACCTGGGGCTAGGGCACTGCCTTATCTCGCTAAACCCACCTGTTGCTGCAGGCAGAGGGCCCAGTCTAAGTTCAGATATCACACAGACCCATCAGCCCAGAGCTCCTGCCCGTGCATGTCCTCTTGCCCAGATGGTGAGGACTTGGAGCATAGCAAGCACCTGAGAGGGTGGGCAGCCCAATTTGGACCCTGCTCTGTGGCCTCCAGTTCTTGCCTCAACACCTGGAGGAGAGGCTCACAGGCTTTCTAGCCACATCCCCACCCCCGCTTCTGTCAGCAACCTTGGAAGAGGCGACCTCATCTCGGCACCTGTTTTTTTACCTGAACACGAAGAGGTAGCGCTCCTTATAGCTGCTGCGCCCCAGTGGCTCACTGACTACGTAGTGATAGGTGTTGGGGTCATCCCTAGATTGAGGAAACAAATGTACCAGTCAGGGGACATCCTGCCACCTACAGCAGGGTTCCTACCCACATCAGTGGCATCATGCCCCTGAAGGGATGGTCACTGTCCCCATGTGCTTCCCCAGGACCCTGCCACCTTCACGCACTGATTGAGTCTGTCCAGCAGCTTCCCCACCGCCGTCAACTGGCTGTCTCTGACCTCCTGGACCAGGGCAATGTCATAGCGACTCAGGATCTAGGGACAGGGCCATAGTGGTATTGAGCAGGGACAAGCAGGGACAAGCTGCCCACTCCAGGTCCCCACAGGAGCCAAGCTGCTATTCCCAGGGTGCTTTCACATCAGTTTGGCCCGCATCCTGATGTCAGCCATGGCAGTGACAAGGGCCCCATCCCCACAGCTGACGGGGCTGAGCGCCCTCAGGACTGACCAGTGTTCCCAGGGCCAGGCCAGCCTGTCCCTACCTGCACAATGTAGTTGGCGAGGGTGGCATTGGACATCTTGGTTTCCCCGAAGGTCCGGATGTTGAAGGCTGCTATTCTCAGGGGCAGGGCCATGTGTAGCACACCAGCCAGGGTGAGCAACACCCCCATCAGCCTGGCACCCTTCATTCTGTAGGAGGAGGGACATTTTCCTGTGGGTCTGGGTTAGCAGAGACAGTGCCCTATCTTCCCTCAGAGTCCAGCTGTGTGGAGCAAGGGGAGTCCAAGGCTGAGCAACTGTCTTCATGGGCAGTGCTGAGCAGTCAAGTGAGTCTCAACCCTCTCGCCAGTGTCCATAAAGCCAGACAGCAGTGCCAAGGAAAGGACCCTCGGGGCTTCTTACCCCTCCACCCACCAGAAGACAAGCCCCTGTAAGGGTCACCAGGCTGAGGAGGCACTCTAGTGGTGGGACTGGCTCACTGCCCTCCCTGCTCCAGGCATCCGCCTGTCTAGGGCTCTTCTCAGGCTTGGTGCTGACCCTCCAACTGGCCACAAGTCACACAGCTCTTGGGGCACTAGACACACTCACCTGAAACGCGACTTTCTCCAAAGATGATGGGAATTCTGCCAAGAACCAGGAATTGCTATTCTCTGATACCAATGTTCTTTTGTTGCTTTTAAGAAAAAATTTACAAAGGGAAGTCTATTAAGAAACACAGCTGAGAGGTCCACGCAGAGCTGTTACAGTTCTGAATCCCCACACGGAATGCTCATTCCACCTGGGGTTTTAAAGGTTTGGGCAGTTGTGACCTTTCCGGAGGCATCACCCGAAGGACACAGAACAGTGGCACTGCTTGTGTGGCTCTCCTGTGCAGGTGAGTGGTTGGCATGTGTTTATTTTAACAGAAACAGGTTCTTGGTGCTGTAAAAACAGCACCTGATGATATTTGCACTTAGTTTTAAAAAGTCTTATAATTGGGCCAAAGGCTTGTGTGTCCTTCACACATGCTGCTCTCCCAGGGATGGGGAGCAGGTGTGCTCTGGAGGGAGGAGTCCTGGCTGCATTCCGATATGCAGGACTTGAGATGACCTTGGAGCCAGTGGTCAAGGCCAGACACCCCAAATTGCATGTTGCAAATAGAGCCCATAGTGGCTACTCTCTGGCTCGGGCACACCAGGTCTACCAATCCCAACCCCTGCTTTTTCTTTTTTACTCCTCACCCGAGGACATTTTTCCATTTTTTGTTCAGATAGAGTGGGAGGGAGAGAGAGAGAGAGAGAGAAACATCGACGTGAAAGGGACACATCGAGTGGTTGCCACCCACACGACCCAACCAGGGCCGGGGATAAACTGCAACCGAGGTACATGCCCTTAGCAGGAACCAAACCCAGGTCTTGCTGGACCACAGGCCGACACTCTAACCGCTGAGCCAAACTGGCCAGGACCCAACCCCTGCTTCTTAATCCACTAGCTGTGAGGGCTGCAGGCAACTTGGCTAGAAGCTGGGGCTCTATGGGGTACATATGCGATGCAGCATTGGGAGCTGCAGATCTTTGGTGCCAGGAAGGGGCAAGGACTGCCCACCTCAGTTGCCGGCAGGAAAAGAACCTGTGCATTCCATGCTCAGGTGACCCGAGTCACAAGGACACTGTTAGGCAGCAACTGAGGGTTCATGACAGGTCCTGAGTCTAGTCATTTCTTTTTGGAATCCTTTCCTTTCCCATTTATATTCATTTCTTGTGGCTGCTGTAACAAGCCATCACAAACTTGGTGGCTTAAAATAATAAATTTGTTCTCTAACAATTTTAGAGAGCAGAGTCCAAAATCCATTTCATTGAGCTGAAATCAAGGTGTTGCAGGGTTTGCACTCCCTCCAGAGGCTCTATAGGAGGGTCCTTTCTGCCTCTTCAGCTTCTGGGGGCTCCTGGTAGTCTTAGCTTGTGGCCATCTCTCTCCAGTCTCTGCCTCCATCTTCATGCTGCCTTCTCTGTGTCAATTTTCCCTCTGCCCCCTCTCAGAAAGATACAGGTGATTGAATTTAAGGTCCTCCCTGATAATCCAGGACCATCTTCCCATCTGAAGATCCCTTAATCACATCTTCAAAGTCCTTTTTTGCCATGTAAATTTCAGATTCCAGGTTTCAGGAATTAGGACATGTATGCCTTTTAGGGTGCCATTACACAGCCCACCACCCCATCCAAGGGGGCCCTGACCATGTGGGGAGGGCCGGGTCCCTCCCTGGGATGGAAGGGTCTCCCTATGTGAAGGTAGGTGCAGGGCTGCGGGGGACTAGAGGTTCGGAGCAAGGGTGGCTTGAGGGCAGCAGTCAGTAGGGACCAAGGTCTATGTCAAAAGTGCCACAGATCAGGCCAGCTGGTCATGAAGCAGGAGGATGCAGAGGGGATTAAAAACAGTGAAGTTAAGTAAATCAACTTCACAAGACCAGAACCTCCTGAAGTAATGAAAACATGCTGACAGATGGCTCTGGCTGTCAGCACAAATGCTAATCAGCTCATGTGTCCCTTGATAAGACATCTGTAAGATGAAATCAGGTGGCCTGGTCCTCCGGTTTCCAGGATCCCCATTGCAGCCTTTTGCAAAGGTTTGATTGCTGATTCTCCATTTTCCAATCCCCAAGGCTGGGATAGCTTGCCTTCTTTTTCTGTTTTAAAATCCTCACTCAAGGATATGCTTATTGAGAGAGAGAAGGACACAGAATAGGGGCACTGCCTGTGTGGCTCTGCATCCTCCTGCTTCATGACTTTGGAGAGAGAGGAAGGGAGAGAGAAACACTGATGTGAGTAGAACTGATCAGCTGCCTACTGTACACACACCCCAACTGGGGACTGAACCCGCAACCTAGGTATGTGCCCTGACCAGGAATCAAACCCACAACTCTTTGGTGTACAGGACGGTGCTCCCACCAACTAAGCCATCCAGCCAGGGCTGGGATAGTTTTGAGCCTGTCAGTATCCATATGCCAACCACAAAGCAACACATTGACCTAGATCCCTTTCTTTCATGATTTTCTTTCCTGGGCACACTTGCCAGACCTTTTGAAGGGAGTAAGTAAGCAAACCTAGAGGTGGGTCCTGGTCCAGTGTTTGAACAGACATGGAACACTGACCACAGGTGGTACAGTCATGGCTCACACTGTGGGTACCTGGTCCCTCCAGTTCTCAGCACATGGGACACAGGCACCTCTCAGCACCCCTGCCCTCCTTTAAACCAAATGCTGCCCCTTTTGCTCTGGGGAGCTTCCAGCCGCAGTCCCTGCCCTCTTCCCAACACACCAGAAGAAAAGTTCCAATCTTGGCCCCACTGGCACAGAATGCCAAGTTTTGTTGCCATGTTGGCTGCCCTCAGAGATGGGTCCACACGAGAGGCAGCACAGCCCGGGGAAGAGCCTAGCCCAGGAGTCAGGGATTTGGGACCTGGAACAGGTTCACCCACTGCACCTCCAACTACTTTGAGCCCCAGTATCTTCATCTATAAAAAGCGGAATAAAACCGCCCTGGCCGGTTTGGCTCAGAGGTTAGAGTGTCCAGAGAGACCCGGGTTTGGTTCCTGCTAAGGTCATGTACCTTGGTTGTAGTTTGTCCCTGGCCCTGGTTGGGTCTTGCGGGTGGCAACCACTCGATGTGTCCCTTTCATGTCAATGTTTCTCTCTCTCTCTCCCTCCCTCCCACTCTATCTGAACAAAAAATGGGAAAATATCCTCGGGTGAGAATTAAAAAAAGGGAAATAAAACCATCACTGCTTTCAATGGATATAACATTATTCTACAGAAGAATCATTTCACATCTCATTAAAAATCCGTCTATCCCTAAGAACAATAACCCTCTCAGATGGTGTCTTTCCATCACGCTTTTAACTTTCTCTCGTGGACCTCTTTTCTATTTCTATTTCAGCTGTTGCTATGTAACAAGCAACCCCAAAATTCAATGTGTACAATATGCTTTTCTTCCTCACTCATAGGCCCACAGATCAGCTGGGAGAGCTCTGTTCCCTGGACCCCTTCTGGGGCCAGGCTAAAGGGGCTGCAGCTACCCAGGGCATGCTCATCTAACGGGAAATTTCCATAGGGGTAAACAAATACATGATCTTTCATCTTGGTATTTGCATGTTTCTTCCCACCTTCTCGGTTTTTGCCAGCCACAGGGCCAAGTCCAACACCAATGGTGGGAGTCAGGGGTATACTCCACCTGTACTGGGTCCCACACTGGAGATGCAGAAGGGGTGCCAGGGGAGGAAAGGGGTGCTTCTGGCATTTTTCAAAGTCACATCAGTAAGAAAATGGGCACTGATAGCAGACCACTTTCTCTGGTTATGGTGAGCTATTTTTTTATGTGTTTTTTTTATCCTCACCCCAGGACATTTTTCCATTTTTTTGTTCAGATAGAGTGGGAGGGAGAGAGAGAAAGAGAAACATTGACGTGAAAGGGACACATCGAGTGGCTGCCACCCACACGACCCAACCAGGGCCGGGGACAAACTGCAACCGAGGTATGTGCCCTTAGCGGAAACAACCCAGGTCTCTCCAGACCACAGGCCGATGCTCTAACTGCTGAGCCAAACCAGCCAGGGCTTTATATGTCTTTTAAAAATTGATTTTTTAGAGAGAGAGGAGTGGAGAGAGAGCTAGAAACATGGATGTGAGGAAGAAACATTGATCGGCTGCCTCCTGCATGCCCCCTACTGGGGATCGAGCCTGCAACCCAGGCATGTGCCCTGACTGGGAATTGAACTGGGACCTTTAGTCAAGGGATGATGCTTAATCCACTGAGCGATACCAGCTGGGCTGGTGGTGAGCTATTTTTACATTAACCCTGAGAGTCTGCTATGTTCTTTGGTTAAACACGTTCCAGATACTGGTAGGGGAAACAGTACATCACAACAAAGTTAGAGCCAGTCTTGAACTCTGATGTGGCTGACATCAAAGGATAAAGAAAAAATCCTCTAAGCACTGAGGCTGGGAACAAATGGCTTCAAGGACACCTGACACGTGCTGGCTGTGGGGCTCTAAGCGATAAGAGTGCCATGAGAACTTGTGACCTGTCCCTTAGAGCTGTGGGCACCCGTGTGTGGCCCAGGGGAGAGGGATGTCCACAGATGCAGAGAAAAAAGGGTGGGGCACAGAGTTCTGGTTCCCAAAAGTGTGCTGAGGCACCCTGGCCCCACATGAACTCGGGCACCATAGGATACCTTTTACTTTGAGGGGAACAGTGATTCTCAACATTTTTGGACACCTCATTGTTTCAACATATCTTGCTACATCCCTTTCCATGACTTCATGTCTCTGCAAAGCTAGGTTTCTGGCAGTTATTGAAAAAGCAAATACTATGTGAAATCAGTGTGGAACAGGCAACAAGAGTGACAGCATTCTATCTGATTCCAAGACTTAAAAACCCAACAGGTACACATCCAGTTGTAATTGTGGTTACTTAAAAATGAAATGAAGCCCTGGCTGCTTTGGCTCAGTGATTAGAGCGTCGGCCTGTGGTCCAGAGAGACCCGGGTTTGGTTCCTGCTAAGGGCATGAACCTCGGTTGCAGTTTGTCCCGGCTCTGGTTGGGTCGTGCGGGTGGCAGCCACTCGATGTGTCCCTTTCACATCGATGTTTCTCTCTCTCTCTAACTCCCACTCTATCTGAACAAAAAATGGAAAAATGTC